CCCCAAAACCCCAAAACCCCAAAACCCCAAAACCCCAAAACCCCAAAACCCCACGTTGAGTAAATTCAGTTGAATTTTAGTTTTATTATTTTATTATTTTTAAAGGATTTTCCAAAATTCATGGAATTTGAAATGAAAAGTGAATTTAGGGACTGTAGTCTTGGTCAGGCTCTATGAAATCTTGGTAATGGAATAGGTAGTAGTCGAGTTCATTGTCTGATTCGTATTGATTGTCAAAATACTCGAGATCTTCAACGAAATCTATGTACTCTCCTATGATTGCTTCCTCATCGTAGTCATGCTCTTCTTCTCTGAAGAAAACTTCCTGTAAAGAGGTTAATGGTGGTCAGTTGTGAAAAAAAATGTCAATTTAGATGAAAGAAATTCGCTTTTTTAATAAACTTACCTTTCTGCAGGAAGGGCATATGTTTTTGGTTTTTAGCCAACCCTTGATACATTTCTTGTGGAACCCATGGTTGCAGGCAGTGAGAACTCATACTCCTGAAGTATCAAGAGCCCCTGAATCTTCCTTTAGGATACCCTCGATCTCAGTTTGATTTACTTCACTTGTATCCTCAACTTGCATTTCTGTATCTTTGTCATCTTCTTGAAGCTTATGAACTACTTCTTGTTGCTCTTGAGTAAAATCTTCGTACTTAACTTGGCAGGAGATCACAGACTGAGTCTACATGTTAGACAGGTATTTGAATTACCTGTCTCTGGGCTTCTTCCTGGTGATTTTCCTGCTTCTGATGCTGCAGAATGAATTCATATTCATCACCATCGAAATAATCCAAGCAAATGGCTCAGCTTTCTCACTCTAGATTGGTTGTCAGGCAAATCTTAGTAAAGGAGGAATGAAGAGGGGGTATTTTCAAAGAAAATACTGGTTTTGAAGCATCTAGAGAGCTTGAAACTTACCTTCTCTTGTTTTACCTTGTTTCACCCACTTTGGATAAAATGGTTTTGACTCTATAAGATATGATTTTAGAAAATTCTTATATTTTTCGGTGAAAACTAGTGAGAAAGTCCGATTCGAATGGAGTTGGTCTAAGCCAAACTACCGTTGATTTCGGAACCAGTTACATATTTTAAGAGCATGACCTACCTTTTGATAACTTTCTTACCGACTTTCTCTCTTCTGATCTGATTACGTTGGTTGTGAAATCTATAAAGGACTCATGAATTTCTGGAACAAAGATTTCGAACAAAAATTGATAGAAAAGCTTGTCTAAAATACTTCTTTATAGTCAAGATAGTAAAAGATTGTGATGCTTCAGCTCCAAATCCCCTCTATGAGGTCTTTCGACCTCATGTGCCCTATTAAGCTTGGCTCTTAAGTACGTACCCATAATGGCTAATTTATTCAAATATTTACTGTTAAAAAGGGGTTTTGGGGTTTTGGGGTTTTGGGGTTTTGGGGTTTTGGGGTTTTGGGG